CGGACCCACATATGCCTGTGCTAAAAGTTTCTCCCTAACTCTCCTCATTTCTTGTAGAAATACCGAGGCGAATGTGGTGGGCCACCCCAATAAATTCAATTTTTTATAGGTATGTCCTTGACCACACAATTATATATTAATATATAAGTGCATTTGTAGAAAATTAGTTAACTTATCGATAATAATTATTACAACAGGATGTCGAAAGAGGAACATCTTATTTGAGATTACGCCCTGATCGTGTGGCTATGCAAGATGCCACGGCACAAATGGCAATGTTACAATTCATTTCTAGTGGTCTAAAACGGGTAGCTGTACCAAGTACTATACATTGTGACCATCTTATTGTAGCTCAAGAAGGAGGCGTCAAAGATCTTGCTCGAGCTAAAGAACTTAACAAAGAAGTATTCAATTTCTTAGCATCTGCTGGTAACAAATATGGCGTAGGATTCTGGAAACCGGGGTCAGGTATGTACCTATCATAAGTTTTAGAGCAATTTCTAATTAATATTCTGCCTTTGCAAGTTACTGAGTGAATGATCATTTTTTCAGGTATCATTCATCAAATTATATTGGAAAACTATGCATTTCCTGGTCTTTTGATGATAGGAACTGATTCCCATACAACAAATGGGGGTGGTCTTGGTGGACTTTGTATTGGCGTTGGGGGTGCAGATGCTGTGGATGTAATGGCTAATATTCCCTGGGAATTAAAATGCCCCAAGGTCATTGGTGTTCGACTAACAGGTACGTGTGTGAAAAAATAATTATTCAGGCAACTTATTTTTCATTCATGAATAATGACGACATATTTGATTTTCAAGCAAGTAAACTCATCGGTTTACAAAACTTCAGGAGTAATACTTATTAGCTGAGTAGTGGAAATTGAAAATGTTGTTCTTTCCTTTCGAATAATTGGGTAACATTCAACGGAAATTTTTACGTGGGCTAAGAAGATTCTTTTTTATTCATTTTCTTCTCTTTCAGTATTTCAGGCTGCTCAAGAGGAGACTTACTCCTCCACAGAGTCTTTATTCCTCATTCAACTTAATCTGAAAGATAAAACTAAAACCTCTGACAATGAATTAGTCCAATACGAATACTTTTTCCGCACACCAGAATTATAAGTCTCTTTGCATTTCTCTTTCAAGTTAGCATCATCAAGAGATGTAGTTTTATAATTCTGATACAGGTATGTCAAATTCAAGTCAATTGTTACTTTTTATTTGAAAAAACCGTGATTATGCAAACCAGAAATCTGTATCCAAAACAACGTTATTTCGGATATGTGAGAAATTGCCAAAATATTTTTGCATATGTCGTGCCCTATCACTGTCGTGTAAGATACATGTCTTTCAAACTTTTATTAAAATTTCTCATTGAACTTTCTTTAAAGTCTGTGGGGCATAATCTACACATCTATGTATAGAGTTACTTCTTTTGAAATTGATTACACATTTGTATCAACATGTCGTAGTAGAAAGCCAAAAACTTTCTTTCTATAAATATAACCCTTTCAATTTAAATGAAATGTTAATGTTTGAAATAGAGTATACTCTAGATATATTATTGGGGCACACTGTCACAGTAGCACCTTAGATTTTCTGAAGGGGTAACAGTGGCTCTAGATAGACTGTAACTCGGATATATCCCTATTAAATTCATTCGTTTGGGCACCGTACATTAGTAAACAGAAGTAAATTCACTCCCGTCGGTCTCTTTGATGTTTCGGGTCGAGATTTTATTTTTTGCTGACATGTGGCGGGGCAGGGGGGTGTAGGCTAAGAGTTGTTGTGCACCTCTGCACAGGGTTCGATCAAAAAATATGTGACCATGATCTGACTTCATCACTGTTACGAGGAGCTCCCAATAAATGTATCATATGATTGTGAACTGTTTAGGAATTGATGAAAAACAAGACAAGGTGATGAAATAAACGTATATTTTATATAGTAAGGTCCAAAAACTTATGCTATTATATTTTAAAGGTTTTTTAGAATGATAAGTTTTTGATTTTTCATTTTAACAATTATTTTCAAATTTCTATTGGCAAATTTCAAAGTATAATAAATTCTTACCCTTGTGAAAAGAGAAAATGAATAATCCAAAGAAAAATTATAACAAGGGTGAGAAATGTTGATTTTTGAAAACATTGTTTTGATCTTGTTTTGAGTTTTTAGCCTATGCAATCAGTGGCACATAAATTGTTGAAATGCTTAAGAAATTCTGTCTCTAGATGTATGATACATTGTAAGAATGAATCTGGAGGCATATATAAACTTCCAAAGTATTTGGCTACTGTATTACTATATACCTTGAAATGACTATATTAAGTTATTTCGCTAGATTTGGATGATCCAGTGAATCGGGTTGATGGTGCATGCCATACCGTCACATTAGCTGAAATTAACTTGGTGCATTGTGCATTTCATTAGTTCAGACTGATTAAAGGCTGAAACTAAGGCTGGTTTAATTTCAATGAACCGATTGATCAGATGAATCCAGTTATTAGTTCATCCATTCAAAATTTTATCTTATTTCTATTTATTGAAACCATCCATCTAAAATTCTTCAAACATTTAAAAACGTTGATCTTAAGAATTATATGATATGATACTTGTATGAAGAAAATTGGTATTGAGTTTTGATATATTCCGTTTGTTAAATTACTTAACTTACTTGTGGAACTCAAGTAAAATGTTAAATTCTTTGAGTGCAACTTGAGAAAAGCTTGGAGTGGTTTTTTGGAACCTACTACTATTGTTCTCCATAACTTTCTTTATTCTAATTTTAATTCTTCTCTGGTAACGGAGATACCACCTGGTAACGGAATTCTAGGACACCCTGTATATTGGAATATTTTCCAATAGATAACTAAGGATAATGCATCAATTTTCTTGGTTTCAGGAAAACTATCTGGCTGGACATCACCAAAAGACATCATTCTCAAAGTAGCAGACATATTGACTGTGAAAGGAGGTACCGGTTCTATTATAGAATACCATGGACCAGGTTGCGACTCTGTATCATGCACGGGTATGGCAACCATTTGTAACATGGGCGCTGAAATCGGTGCAACAACTTCAGTGTTTCCTTACAACAGTCGTATGTTTGACTATTTGAAAGCCACCAGGCGAGCTAAAATTGCTAACGAAGCTAATAAGTACAAGACTGTACTCCTTAGTCCAGATGAAGGTAGGGTCACTTTGAACTCCATACACTTGGGTAAATTAATATAAATGATTTTGTTTTTGTCATAATTGCAGGTGCGAAGTATGATCAAATCATTGAAATCAACCTGGACACTCTGGAACCTCATGTAAATGGTCCGTTTACTCCTGATTTGGCTAGCCCAATCAGCAAACTGGGTGAAAATGCCAAAAAGAATGGTTGGCCTGTTGACATAAAAGTAGGTTTGATTGGATCATGTACCAACAGTTCTTATGAGGATATGGGACGTTGTGCTAACATCGCCAAAGAAGCAATGAAACACGGTGTTAAATCGAAGATTCCTTTCAATGTTACTCCTGGATCGGAACAGATTCGCGCCACAATTGAAAGAGATGGTATTTCTCAAACTTTGGCAGAATTTGGAGGAACGGTGAGTGAATAATCATTTCAATTTTTTTCCCAATTCATTTAGTGAATTAAGGATATACATTTGTAGCAACAAATTATTACACATGCATCGTCAATACTTGACGCGATAAACACATAATTTTATGTGAAAACGAAAAAAAAACTTTTTTCATTTAAGCAGCGGGAGCTCTTGTTTGGAAGACATTCAAACATAAGTCGTTGACAGATATCACTGGTAAGTTTGCTGTTCAGATTCAGGTTGGAACGAGTATGTGCTGCATTTTTTTCCTTTATTCGGTGCTGGTGGGTTAGTTTTGTGATTCTGAGATGAGTAAGAATGACTGGGTGTTTTCATTGGGCTAACTGACATTTGAGAATGTATATAAAAAGAGAATGTATTTTCTATTTTGAAAGTTCAAGACAAACAAGGCGTACTGTGAACATGTCATTGATACTGCTTACAAGAAGTACTGTGAACAATCCGAGAGATCCTTGAAAAAACAGGTTCAAAATCATTTTGGAATTTCGTTTATTCTAGTAGGAATGAGACCCGCATTTCGGGCAAAATAAAATATGAGAATGTAACCAATACCACTGCGAAGTCGATAATAGTTGCATTCGCTGTATATTTTGGAAGTGTATACCTTCCCTCCAACACTAGTTCCCAAAATAGTGAAACTTTCAGCAAACCCAGTCACTACTAGCGGGCATAATGGAGGCACTTAAAAAAGTAAAATAATGTGGTCCTGATAATATATGAAACACTTTTAAAACTTCTTGGGATTATCTTCAATCTGAGTTTTCGAGCGAAAAAGTTCCGAGACGTATGAAACATATTTAGCATCTGTCTTATTTTCAATTCTTGATTGCTGAGTGGAATTAATAGACCAATAGACCTTAAATCCATCTTTTCAAAATTCTTGTTTTGCCTTGATGAACGCCTATCCATATAACAATCTTAGCACAGTTTCGTGAAAAATAAAAGCACTGTTATTCTTTTTTTTTTGTGTTTTTGGTGCATTGACGACAGGTTGGCCGTGATTTGTATGAATTTCAGCAAGGCTTCCAACAAGACCTACAAAATCCAAATTCTAATTCCTGTAAAACTGTGTAAACACTGCCTAGCTTTCAAATGTTTCATCGTGTTTATATCGCCCAAATTGCTAGTTTGGGAATCACTGGTGTAGGTAGTGGTTATTAAGCAGTCTTGCCAAAAAACTTTTCAATTTCATACGAATTATACACTCAATTCCTGTCAAATGAAAATGTTCATATTCTTTTATTATATATGACTTTCGATTGGTCCATAATAATGTCAGAAGGATATGATACAGAAGAGGAAGAAACGTTTCACATACAGTAGCTGAAACCACTCAACGTCAAAAGACATATGGAAGAAAACTTCATAAAAACACATCATTATATAATAATATAATATTGTACTCGTGATGCACTGTTTGGAACCTTTTTGGTGTAGTAATGAATATTACTGAAGTTTTTCCCAAAACCAAACCGTTATTTTAACACTTCGACACGTGTTTCGATCACCAAGTGATATCTTCAAGAGGAAGATCAAACTAACTGGTGTTGGGAAAAAAAAACTCCAGTAATATAACATAATATTGAATAAAACTTCTGCAGATCTCATTGAAGAAATAACAGTCAGTCAGGAAGTTATTGATTGTAACATCGCCATACCTATGCATAGTGTATGGAAAATGATTTTCCCAAAACAATTTTACTATCATGTTTCGTAGATTTTGAATTCAATTATTATTCATGTTCATATATCGACTCTACTTGTTTACGGTTTTTAACTGACAGTTATAATGTTATGTAACGTTGATCAACACAATTGATAAACTCATCGACTATCATTATAGAAAGTGATAATTGCAATCAGCTCAACCATGCCACAACAACATATAAAATAATAATAATAATGTTTATTTCATAAGATTGAATACATATACATATAAACAAGAAGAAATGCAGAAATCAACATGACAAGTCACTGAAGTTCATAGAGCTTGTGTATGACAAAAAAACTGATACAATAAACTAAGTAAGATGTTATGTGTGTGATGTCAGTTGAAATAGAAAAATAAATGAAAATATCATGAACATGAATCAGTGAACCAACAACATTACAAAATAAACTATCGGTCATAACGTTCATCATTCATACACCATATACGTAGAGTAGTTGAAAGTCATATGTCTTATATTTCATTCAATGTTCTGTTTTCAATATGATCTTGATGACTGCACTTTTGTAGTCTATAAGGTAAATCCTTGTTCAGAAAGATTGTACAGAATATGGTGAACAATAATGAATTAAAACATATGAATAAAAGTTCAAATTTACATATAAAGCTGGTGTAGATCATGAATTGTGAAATTATTTCCATTTATACTTGTGAATATTTAAATTTTTTTGTGAGAACATGTGCTTTTTCTTGCTGTATCACTTTTTTTTTTCGTAACAATATTCGATTCATCTTACCTATTGTTATATTAGTTAGCCATAATTTCAGTTCTTTTTTAAATCTGTTATCACTTGTAATATACTTTATTTCAATTAAAACTTCTGCATTGGCAATAGGGCACAAGTATGTGAGAAATCTTTGACTTCGAAATGTGCTTTAGGAATCCTTGCGGTTTTTTGCTTGAATCTGGTATTGTGCAAGTGATCCACAGACAATAATTTTATTTCATATCTTCTATAATACATTGCAAGACTTGGAAAATATAGATGTCTATATGTAAACAATTTAGATTCTGTTGAAAGTGTTTCAGACGGATATGTATAATCTCTATTAAAAATAATTTTAATGAGAAATTTTTGATTGACATTGTTAACCCTGAGATGATTATCAGTAATACCTGCTTATTCCATCTTACATTTTCATCTATTATTATGCCAAAATATCCAAAACTCTTCCGCCGTCACTCTGCAGTACTATAGAAATAAGTTTGAAACCCAAAAATAATTAACTATTGCATATCTATTTCATCAGTTCGGACTTCCATTGTCTAATATGATAAAAATTGATTTGAAACCCCTAATAAAACAATTAAAATATTAATAAGATTAACCGAAAATAACAATTTTATTAAACAAAAAATTGAGATCACAAAGAAATAACATACAAGCAACAACCAGACAAATAAAAATTGAAATATCAATAAAAGCTGAAAAATAAAAATTAAAAATTATTAATAACAAAAAATGAAAAATAAAACATTCGGTTTATCACCCGAAGACGATTGTGGATACTAACAATCGAAACGTCGTGACATAACTTGGTTTGAAATCTTTTAATTTTTTATTTTTCATTTTTTGTTAATATTAATTTTTAATTTTAATTTTTCAACTTTTATTAATATTTTAATGTTTATTTGTTTGGTTGTTGCTTATATGTTATTCCTTTGTAATTTCAGTTTTTTGTTTGATAAAATTGTTATTTTCGTTTGATCTCATTAATTTTTTAATTGTTTGTTTCAGGGTTTTCAAATCAATTTATATTATATTAGACAATGGAAGTCCGAACTGATGAAATAACTACGAAACATTGTCAACCACCTTCAAACATATATTGCATCTTTAGTACTAGCACAAATAATATGTACTATTCCATTTCATTTCATTCAGTCATTATTATTATTATTATAATACAGCATTAATATAATTGAATGTTTTGAGAAAAGTATTGATAATAATCACAATTAATTTTATTTGAGATACGTTTCGCTACACGGAAGCATCATCAGTTGAACTGATGGTATTGGTATATTAACTGAGACACCAAAACATCTTACACTGACAAGAAAGTTTGATACTAATAAAGATATCATTATATCACTTTCATATGTTAAACGTGCTATTATTTAAAAATTCTGAATATTGAAGAATACCTGATATTATTTAAAAACTCATGGAGATTGAACAATATCTGCTGTAACAATACTGCATACATGCTCATTAAATTGATGACCAATTGTCTTCTTCCTCTCTGTTTTTTCTAACCGAGAATTTCTATTACCCCATTAACTTTGTTGTACTCGTATTCATTACAATGCCCTTACTAAGTCTTTCATTTTTTTTTCGTACTAGGTGTTAGCGAATGCTTGTGGCCCTTGCATTGGTCAATGGGACAGAAAAGACGTTAAGAAAGGAGAGAAAAATACCATTGTTACATCATATAATCGTAACTTCACTGGACGTAATGATGCCAATCCTGCCACTCATTGTTTCGTTACCTCACCAGAACTTGTAACAGCCCTGAGTATTGCTGGAAGACTGGACTTCAATCCTCTAGAGGACGAACTCCAAGGCAAGTTTCCATTGAGCAATTCCAACCAAAACTGAACGAATGTTTTTTCACAGGGGCGGGCGGTAAGAAATTCAAGCTGAGTCCTCCCTTCGGGGATGAACTCCCCAACAAAGGGTTTGATCCTGGCCAGGATACATACGTTGCACCTGTTGAAGATGGTTCGAAATTGAGTGTTGATGTAGATCCAAAATCACAACGTCTTCAATTATTGCAACCTTTCGACAAGTGGGACGGAAAAGATTTGGAAGATATGACTATTCTGATCAAAGTGAAAGGGAAATGTACCACAGATCACATTTCTGCTGCCGGACCGTGGCTGAAGTACCGCGGTCATCTGGATAACATTTCGAACAACATGTTCATAAGGTAAAATATTTCCAAATTTGATGCCACTCACTATTTATTTCATTTTCAGAAAGTTGGATTTCGTTATTTCAATTAGGTATACGGAAACGCAGGAGGGCCACATATTTTTGTTTTCTGTTTCTTGGAAATTATGACTTTAAAACTCGAAATTTCAACTTTAAACTCGAAATTTCGAGTAAAGGCGATGGCATCTCTCCTTACGAACACGATATCTACGGAATCAGCAGAGAACTCAATACTCGAATGTCAAAGTTCAACGAGGCTCCCCAAGGCGGTTAGTTGCAAAGACAAGTTTCGACATCGACAAGATTCGTCCTGCAGCTTTCACTGCAAGGCAACTAGATGAAAACTAGAGCCCAAACACAACGCATTTATGATTCAGTACATGATTTGCTATAGGTCTCATCATTGGTATGAGCTGAACCACATGGGATCGATCCCATGGGGGATGCCATCGCCCTTACTTGTCCCGGATTATGCCGTGAAGTACATTTCAGTCCAGCAAAGCATTTGTGGTTCCGCCTAGCACCACTGATGAGACCTATGGTGGCTCGTAACAGTACTGCTGGTGTTAAATCATATTTGCGTTTTTTGGGCTTCGATATCAAAGCTTGGCTTTGCAACTTACCGCCTTAGAGAGCCTCGTTTATCTTTGATATTCGAGAATTGAGTTCTCTTTCGATCCCATAGATGGCGTCTTCATAAGGGAAGATATCATCGCCCTTACTCGAAATCACGACTTTAAACACAAAATTTCGAGGTTAAAGTTGAATTTAACTCAGACTTACGACTTTATAAACTCGAAATTTCGACTTCAAACTCGAATTTTTGACTTTAATCTCAAAATTTTTACTTTAAAGGTCCGAATTTCGAGTTCAAAGTCGAGATAAAAGTCGAAGTTTTGAGTATTAAACAAACAAATATTGAAAACGTATGGCCATCTGCGCATCCGTACAATTTTGGTAAAAACTTTTTGATTTTTTCATTATAGAACATTAAATTCTCGAGTTTTGACAAGCGTATTTGGGAAAAAAGCTAATTTCAATGACTAAGTTGCAAACAGCATTATCAACCATTTATCGTAACTTGCCTCAAATCGATCAAAGGATGTAAATTTTCACGGCCAGAGATACCGGGTTTCTTGGCCGTTGTATGCATGTTATCATACCTGACGTTTCGTCTACGACTGCGGTAGACGTCCCGTCCCGAACGCGGTAACTACGAGGCTGGTATTTGACTCTGCTGTTATATTATTATTCGTGGGCATGGCTTGGTTTCTCTCAATTAAGGACAGGTAGCCAGATATTATCAATGTGCATTGCCTCTTCTTCTGTGTTAAAATCAACCCTGTTTTTTGAATTTTTATTGCATCTCTATTCAAATTCAAAAGCACAGGGATAATTTCAATAGAAAACAAAAGGCAATGAACATTAGTAATATCTGGATACCTGTTCTTAAAAGTACACCAACAGGTAATCCAATTGGGAGAAAGCAAGCAGCCACGTTCACGAATAATGATTTGATACTAGTGTCAAATACCAGTTAATGCGTTCGAAACAACGGAAACAACTCGAGCACCAACTCGAGCACTGCGACCGTTATCACAACACCTTTGATAATATCTACCGCCCTAGTAGAAGAAACGTCAGGCATAAAAACTGCTGACCACGTTCAAAAAAAAACCCGAAAAATAGCTTTCACACAGTCACCTCAATTCTCACGTGATGTTTTTTTTACGTTATTTATCTTTTCAGTGCCACAAATGCTGAAAATAACGAACTCAACAAGGCATATAGCACTGAAAATGTCTGCGGCAGTGGCAGACGGAACGTTTGATACTAAAGTTCCATTTGACCAAGGCTTATTAGCCCGAATTTTGTTCTCTCCAAACGTGATTCTGGCTATAAAAGCTTATGTCGGTTGTATTTTCAAGAGTGACTAATTTTTGGGGAAGAAAGTTTTTGGCTTTCTACTACTCCATCTTGATACAAAAAATGTGGGAACCTTCCAAAGAAAAGGAAGGAAGCAATCAATTTTAAAAGAAGTAACTCTATACATAGATGTGTAGATCATGCAAAGAAATAATTTTCAGGCACAAACTGGAAAAAAAAGCCCTCCTGAAACAGCTACTTTCATATAGACATGTTCTTATGAAGTTCGGCTTAAATTTATTATTTTATTTTGTCTTTTTTAGTATTCTTTTAGATAATGTCATCCACTGTCATCCATATTCCAAACATATCTCTATAATGATTGTTTTTGATTATTTAAATAAGTTGTTTTTCGTTTTCAGTGCCACAAATGCTGAAAATAACGAACTCAACAAGGTGAAGAATCAACTCACGGGTGAATGGGGAGCAGTACCAGACGTAGCTCGTTACTACAAAGCTAAAGGAGTTAAGTGGGTTGCAATTGGTGACGAAAACTACGGCGAAGGCAGTTCTCGCGAACATGCCGCCCTTGAACCCAGACATTTAGGAGCTCGTGCGATCATCGTGAAATCTTTTGCCCGCATCCATGAAACTAACTTGAAAAAACAAGGGCTTTTGCCTCTCACTTTCTCCAGCACTAGCGACTATGACAAAATCCAACCCTCAGACAAGATTTCATTAAAGAATCTAAAAAATCTCTCTCCAGGAAAACCAGTTGAATGCGAAATCAAGCATGCCGATGGTAAAGTTGAGAAAATATTGCTCAATCACTCGTTAAACGATCTTCAAATAAGTTGGTTCAAAGCCGGAAGTGCACTTAATCGCATGAAAGAATTATCTCACTAATGTAGACAAATTATTTGAATAATTCTTAGTTATTTAAGAAATAATCCTATGAATCTCATAGTTATATTCAGTTATAATTTTAAGCAAATTTTTTCTTGCAATTTTTGTCCATACACAATCAATTTTAAACAAATTTGGAGACAATAAAGTTGTTTTTGTTTTTCATGTGTTTTGTTTACTATATAGATATATGTTTTATTTCTATATGACATGTAGGACAAATGAAATCATTTTGGTAAAAGATTTGTTACTGTTGATCCACTGAACACAAGGCCTGACTTAGGCAATCGATTGACCTAAGTCCATTGACCGCACTGAAAAAGAAGAAGGTTGATCAATCACTTGTGAATTAACCTTGATAGGAGACTGATGAATATTCACATATCTCGGCTTGTTTTGAAGAGATTTTAGTTCCGTATTGAAATTAGGGCAATGCATGATCTCATCAAAATTATGTGAAGTAGGAATAGTTCCAAGCACCGAAGCATCATTACCATGTTGAATAGCAAAACTAATTCTTTCTATCAAAAAAGAGACAGAACGGTGATGATTTTTCGTTGCTTGGCCTATTCTTCCTCCGATTCGATCCCTCTACGAAACCCTTCGTCATTTGGAAGGATCGAACGCAGCTTGAGAAATGGTTCTTTTACAGATTATGTGAAACATGTTCTTCCTTACGAATCAATGGAGAGTTGTCCTGAAAAGAAAATTGGATTAGATAATTTAGGAAGCACTTGCTACATGAATAGCATTTTACAAGGTTTGTTCATGACGAAGCACTTCAAGAACGAGGTTTTAATGATGAACGAGAACGAGAATGTTTCCTACTTATTCACCAAACTCAAACACCTGTTCATGCAGCTGCAGTTTCGTAAGAATGTATCATCTTTTTCTCCAACCGATTTCCTGGAGTCTTTGAAGTCCACTAGATACTCGTTAGGACAACAAGAGGATTGTTCCAAATTCTTGAGGTTCTTGTTGAATACTCTTCGTGAGCAAAACAATGGCAGAATCAATACTCCTGACCGCTCTGGATTAAATGATTCCGTACAGTCTATCTCGTCTTGTGTTTGTAAATCTTTTGCTGGAAAAATACTCACTTGTTCACTTTGTAGTGAATGTTCAAGAGGTAGCAAAAACAAATGTGAATTTCTGGAACTTTAACTAGCGTTTCCTAATATGACTAATAACCAGTCCGTGCAAAGCTTATTGTTAAATAATCTGAAAATTGAATGTTTAACAGGTGATGATCGACTGTATTGCCAAACATGCGCCAAACTAACTGACTGTTATAAGGAAACAAGTATAGATGAGGCACCAGTTAATATAATAATAACACTGATGATCTTCAAACATGATTACTATTATAATATTCATGCAGTCATTGTTCACTGTGGTTCTGGTATTGAATTTGGTCATTTTTACGCCTTGGTCAAAGATAAATGATTCCGTACAGTCTATCTCGTCTTGTGTTTGTAAATCTTTTGCTGGAAAAATACTCACTTGTTCACTTTGTAGTGAATGTTCAAGAGGTAACAAAAACGAATGTGAATTTCTGGAACTTTAACTAGCGTTTCCTAATATGACTAATAACCAGTCCGTGCAAAGCTTATTGTAAAATAATCTGAAAATTGAACTTTTAACAGGTGATGATCGATTGTATTGCCAAACATGCGCCAAACTAACTGACTGTTATAAGGAAACAAGTATAGATGAGGCACCAGTTATATAATAATAACACTGATGATCTTCAAACATGATTACTATTATAATATTCATGCAGTCATTGTTCACTGTGGTTCTGGTATTGAATTTGGTCATTTTTACGCCTTGGTCAAAGATGAAACGGACTGGTTTAAGTTTGACGATAGTCGTGTCACGAAGTGTTCTGGCGATGTCTTGAATTTATTGGAGCCTCTGGAGACATCCTACATTTTGTTTTATGAGAGAGAGGACGTTGGCAGATTAAGATCTTCAGATGATGTGGTGCTGCAGGTTTTTCCGGGTTTTCCTGCAGCTGAAAAAGCAAATGCGCCAGTGAAATCAATAAAGTCGCCGCGGAGCACCAACTAATTTCCATTGTTGTTTTTTAATTTCATGATTTGTATTTTGGAAGGGTTAATAAATAAAATCATTTTCGAAAAACCTAGACAGGGTGTAACATAAGTACGTTAAAATATTCAAGTGACGTCTTTATGAACTTGTGTCCGAAAATGCTTCGTTTCGGAGATACGAGGTGTTGAAATTGAATTTTTTTGTTCGCTTTTTGAAAATAACTCTTGCAGAAAATAAGTTATTTGCACGAAATTCGGTACCCGGGTTTTTTCTGACGTGGGAAATCATAATTTCGTATTAATTTTCATGTAACATCTAGAGGGCGCTATGTACGCTGTCATTATTTATTTCAAATTGCCCCTAACTTTTTTGACAGTAAACGTTTGGTACTTTTCATGAAAAAAACTAATTCCCACAACTTTTCCAAGTAAAAAAGTACAGCTCCTCAACAACGCTGGAGGTGATCGTTTTCGAGATATTTACAATTTTCTATATCGATGCATATTACTTAGCTCCTAGGGCGCTAAGTGAAGTTGCTGAAAATATTACAAAAACCAGGTATGTGTTGGATATAATCAAAATAAACAACTATTTCCTATGAAATGTTTGATGAAAATAACTAAAATTGCAAAAAACATGACAAAAACCAACCATGTTTTGAAAAATTTCAACAATCTGTATTTCGAAAACGAATCATTCTTCGTTAAATATTTTATAGGAAAAAGTTGTTCATTTTCACGAGATCCACCACATCCTTAGTTTTTGTAATGTTCTCAGCAACGTCACTTAGCGCCCTAGGAGCTAAGTAATATGCATCCATATAGAAAATTGTAAATATCTCGAAAACGATCACCTCCCGCGTTGTTGAGGAGGTGTACCTTTTTTACTTGGAAAAGGTGTAGGAATTAGGTTTTTTCATGAAAAGTACCAAAAGTTTACTGTCAAAAAAGTTAGGGCAACTTGAAATTAATAATGACAGCGTACGCAGCGCCCTCTGGATGTTACATGAAAATTAATACGAAATTATGATTTCCCACGTCAGAAAAACTCCGGGTACCGAATTTCGTGCAAATAACTTATTTTTTGCAAGAATTATTTTCAAAAAGCGAACAAAAAATGTTATTTCAACACCTCGTATTTCCGAAACGAAGCATTTTCGGACACAAGTTCATATAGACTCTTTTTCTTAAGATTGTCATGGAATACGTCACTTGAATATTTTAATGTACTTATGTTACACCCTGTATAATCTTATTTCTTTTCGAAGATATATTTTTATTGTGTTCTAGGTATAAAGAGGTATCTATCTACATGCCATCAAATATACAGGTCGTTCATAAAATGTTATATATATTTCAAGAGTAACCTAAGCGTGTTAATAGCCCTCGCTATCGCTCGGCCTATCACTTTCACGCTGCGATCCATAAAAACGTATTTTACAACCTTGATACATAAATAACTATTACAATATGGGATAATACGTGGGATCTTTTTGTCCCGGTAAAAATATTTTATTTATTTAGAAAACTATGATCAGATTATGATGATCAGTTATAAAAAATTATATCAAATGCGAAATGATAGAACAAAACTTGAGACTCAATTCGACTTTTTCCGGCGTGTCGTTTCTCCGGGACCAGATTGTTGGTATTGAAGTTTTTTTCTTTGAACAAAGGCTTGCGACTAACGCAAATAATGAGTCTATTTTGACTAATTTAGCGAGTTTACAAGAGCTGTAACAATCAGCGGTACACTTGAATTGAAATATTTTTATTTGTCGTTCTTCGTCTTTTGTCGGATCGCGCACGAGTCGATTCAGTCAAGGAAAGTATTTTAAAAAAATGAAAAATACTGAAAGTATACACAAAATCAAAAGAAACCACACATATTTTATTTTAAATTTTTAAACTGCGATATCTGACAATTTAAATATTCCAGTATACAGAATGAAATATGAGGTTGAAATTGATAATTACGATTTAAAGTTCATTTTACGTTTACTGTAAAAGAGCCCTTAATTTATCAGTTGTGAAGACATCCACTGGTATAATATAAAAGAAATGAAACTGTTCAAACTTCTAATAAACAGCATGTTAATTGTCAGAGGACATAATAGAAATGTTTCCAGACCACCACCCAACAGTGGCCATCCGCGGTTTCCACTCAAAATCAGGCGAATGGAGCTCTACCAATAAAAACCATAGAGGCCAGGACTTTGCCAGGCACCTAAAAGACTTCGGAGAAAATGAGTTCTTCTCCCCAGAGGTCCCAAGCCACCACCCTAGAGTGGATCATACTTCGACTACAACACTTCCAGTATTCTTTCAAGGAGGCCACAGTCATCATAATCCCCAAACCTCATGTTCCCCGACAACCATTGGCCAAAAATTGCCCCGTCGATAAGCAAAGTAGTAGAACGCGTCATTTTGAAAAGATACGAGGATCAGATGGAAGAACTGAATATTCTGCCCGTTGAACGGTTTAGATTCAAACCGAAACAATTGATGGAACTGCAAGTCCTGAGAGTAGTCAACTATGCGATTGAAGGTTTCAACCTGAGCAAAGCGATATTTCTTGACTGCCCTAAGGCGTTCACCTGTAAGAGGGCGCAACCGGGGGGACGCGTAATCTTCAAAAGACAGGAGATTCCTTGGACGAACAAAGAGCAAGATACCTGGGAGATACTTTCGACAGGAAGCCAACATTCAGGCTGGCGAAGGCTGCTTGACACAACCTATATCCCATCATTGGAAGCAAAAGCAACATGGATTTCCAAGAGAAACTGTTTATAATCAAGACAATCCTACCCCCGCCTCCAGACCCATAGGTTAATGATAGTCTGCCTGCGGATGGCAGTAAATATTCCTAGATACATATCTCATCAATACATCTTTCGGGACCTGAATCACCAGGGTACCTTTGTACCTCCAACCTTGGAAGCGAAGATCTTTGAAGATGCCAGCCACTAGATCCAGATAAAAGTCAGGAAGAGATTCCAAGAGATGATGGCCAGCTATAGCTACCTACGTTACTTCCGGATGGTGTCCTGAATTGCATTCTAAAAAAATTGAATGTTTTAGAAATGGTATTGTTGCTCCACCAACTATTAGATATGTGCTTAATTCGTATGTTATTCAAAATCATTTCATGCAATTGCTATTTGTTATAAGTATACTCCCACAGCACATGCCACCTTTCAAAAAATAATATCTATGGAAATAGATATTATGTCAAGAGCTTTAGGTAAATGGCTTTTTGTTTTTAGGTATATGTAGAAGTGATAAATAGAATTACCGAAACGTCCAACATCGAACATAACTGGAATATACCTAATTGAAACTGATACAGATGAAATCATTTTTTTACCATCAACCACCTATCCCATATGAGCAACAATATAATTACAATTTTCCACGAACCTTTCAAAAAATGTTAGTGATGGTTATTCACAATAACGTGTTTGTAGTTACGAAGACAGCAATGCCCTAATGTTTATCAACATAAAAAGAGTAGAAAAACGTGTTTTTGTATAATTCTGTGTTCCTATAAAAGTAGTTGTTTCGAGAGGGTTTTTTTCCAGTTTGTGTCTGAAAGATGACATGAGTAGATTAAAATCAATCATGACATGAAGACGTAATTTCATGAATGAATTTTCGTTTTTTATTATAATGTTATCTAGATTTGGTACTGAAGAGCCAATAAGGCAAGTGTCCGATGTCTTTCAGTGACGACGACAGTGTTCCATGTAGGTAAAATTTCATCTCCTTCATTTACTATATTGTGTAGTAATCCTGTGAATGTTATCTGATTCAATTCAATAACGCATGTTTAGAATACAAACTGAATAGATAAAAGTGTTTTTGTATAATTCAGTGTTCGCATGTTTAGAATACAAACTGAATAGATAAAAGTGTTTTTGTATAATTCAGTGTTCATATGAAAGTACATATTTGTTTCGAAAGTAATTTTCTTTCGTGTAATTCAATGTTTATATGAAAGTAACTGTTTCGAAAGGGTTTTTCATTCAGTTCGTATTTTTGTTACTTCTTTGCATAATCTAAACGTCTTTGTATAAAGTTAGAAGTTAGAAGATGGAGAAGTAGAAAGCCGAAACCTTTCTTTCCTAATGAAAAACAAAATCTTCAGTCCATTCGAGATTTTGTTTCATGACAATATACTCGTATAGTGACAGTCTTGACGAGGACTGAAGCATATTTAAAGTTTAATATATGTTTAAAAAAATATGTTTTTTCCGTTAACCACCTATCCCTACGAACGACAACCCTCAGAAGTCGAAACTTGTGCGAGCTAAGGACTAACGAGGTTTCATCTTTTAACGTGTAATTCCTAACACGGGTTAATAACAAGTGAAAATCGAGCGTTCAGCCTGCGTCTTTAACCATCTACTCACACATCGGCCGATTGACTGAGTGAACAAAGCACCCACGTCGAACCGCCCAGCTACCGACCTACTACTCTAGAATGATTAACAAAAGTTTGTTCAGCAAATCGGATTTATTTCTCTTGCAGACGAAGTCTTGGGCAGAAGGTGATACTAAATTGAATGTTTGAAGTGTCAAAAAAAATATTCAAAATTTCACCCAGTTGTTTTGACATTACATACTAGTCATGAAATTATGGTCAGCACCCTTTTTATTTTCTTATTCGCAAGATTTAAACTCACAACTTCGAGTTGTAAATACCCTTTTTATCCGCCTGAATTTTGTTTGGGAACAATTCATCTGTTTCCGATGAGGCAAATATCCAGTCCTCAGTACCAAGGAAGTTTACGTTCTATTTGAAAATTGGAAGAAACAAATCGAAGTGGTCGAAAACCAAAGTAATATTTAAAGCACTCTGTATAGAAATAAATTATCAGAGATTTACACGTTACTTTTGTATTCTGTACGTCGCTTCACCATATGAAATGAAGATCTTCCAAGAAAACATATAAATTACAATAAATTATTTCATTAAGCATTCTTTACTATTTTTTTTTTCAAAAAATGTATGACTTGGTATCGATGGTGTCGTGAGAAAAATTTAGAGCTGAGTAGAGAACGAAGGGAACGATAGAAAATTAATATGCTGTTCCATTGAAAAAATATTTTTTTTGCTGTTACGGAAAACTGTATCGCCCTTTGCATCTAGAACTATTTTCTAGCTTCTCTAACTAATTATCAGCCTTTCTGGCTAAGACATTTCATGTCAGCATTTTCGATATATCGATGAGTAAATACGCACTGCTGGGACTTTCAGTAGATGCCGTACACCTGCAATCATCTTTAAGTTAACGACATTTACGAATCTAGTAGAAACCAAGGGGTTCTGACCCTCATCGCCTGTTGTTGGTTACGCCTTTGGCAATATATTTAAACATCAAGATCCATGGGCACTGCATGTTACGTCAATCAATAGCACCAACCAACAATACAAACATTGCAACTGTTATAATTGAAATAATGTCGGATGGTACATTTTTATTATGCGTTTCTGGACAATTAGAATGGATAGATATATTTGCAACTGCAGGCACTTCTTGGCACTGCAAATATGAATTCTTTTTCGGGGCTGATTGGAAAGTCATTGGCGGATTAGAAGCAGGGATGTCACAAGTTGCTAATGTTGTGGATAATGGTGACAAAGTTGTGTTGAATCTTCCAATTGAAATACAGTTCAAATCGACGAATCCTTATGGGTGTAAGTAAATAAGCAGAATTGAATGGTTTATTATTAGCAATATTAAGTATACATTTTTGGTGGAATATAATGGACTTTCAAAAAAAGTCAAATTAAAAATAAATTCTTTTTTCTTCCACTTGAAATTCTGATATCCATATTACATTTTTCATTTTATTTCATATAATTATTTAATGTGGTGTACAGTGTATTTGATTGTTTATTAGTCTAATAATGTACTTTTCTATAACAATTCAAAACATATCAATTATGTGACCGTTTATTATTGAGTAAGTAGGTAAAATGGCCCATAACTCACACCTTCGAACCGATAACAATTGACCAGATTCATAACTCACGATACATTTAAAAACAATCAAGTAATGATATTTTTCGAAAGTTCATCACTCAATAACAAAATTGGAGTAGTTGAAAACTCAAATATTTTCATGTAACACTAATTTGTACAAACGATCGTGAAGTAGCGCACGTTACTTGTAAACAGTTGCTGAGTTCAAATCCCTATTTTTTCAAGAAGCCAACTTAAAAACAATTCGAATTTTAATAATAGCTTAAATGGATTTTTTGCCGAAATTAAATATTACACCATCACAAACGAATCTAATTTTGCAATATTAGTGACGTAAGTCATAGAAAAAATATAGTGTTCTACTTACGAGAAATGGTCATTACTAACTCAAATGATTTACGATACTCACCTTCGGCTCACGTCAAAAAACTTCATTCTAACTAGAAATGAAGACATTTCCCGCTCTATGAATGATATAATTTTTTCTACGACCATTGCAAAAGTTTCACCCCGTTTCTTGTTTGCTGAGCAGGCAATTTTCCATAACTCACACTTTCAAGTCAATAACAATAATATTTGAATTATTTTCATTCGCAAGTGAAATGTCAAGCTTATTCATTGAACTGACCGTTCGTTTCAGATTATATGTTTCAAACAAAAACAAGAATAAATAAAAATGGACTAATGAAGTGGAAACCAGTGTACACCATTAGAAATTTGTGATTGATTTTTTGTTTTTCACTATATAACAAAATGAGAGTAGTCTAAAACTGAAATGACTTTATGACTCACCTATTCGTACGCAGCTTCGTGGAGAACTTTTTTGAACTCTGGGCTTGATTACCAGTCATCGTGGGGTCAAATTACATCTACCACACTTTTTTCATTTTTCAACCACTCAATATTGAAATTATTTGAAATTGAGTGAAATAACAAAACATTGAACTATGTTTGATGGCAGTCTCATTCTGTATATTCTTCACAAGTGAATCTAATTTCAATATATTTTTGTTATGAGTCATAGAAAGAGTATAGTATTCTACTCACGAGAAATGGCTATTACTTCTTCGAATGATTTACAAACTTCAAGTAATGGCTACTTCATATTGAGTAATATATTTTTAATTACTCTGTCATAATCAATTTTTTTACTATTACTACTTACTGGTCACAATCGATTTTACATTATGTTGCCAAAATTTTGACTTTATTGATAACAGACTGGCAGCGCCATACACTACATGCATATTAGGGTAGGTCCAAAGTGAGTGGGCCTATTCGACCCCCCACCGTATCCCGCAAGGGCTTCTTAATGAAACCATTAGTTTGTATGGTGAGTGGTCTTTCTGGTTAGATGGTAAGAGTACGGCTCTGCCGAACTCTAAAAACCTGATTCGGTCCCCAGTAGGGCAGGCACAAAGTATGTGCTCTGCTATTTCATCATTTTCCAAACAGAGGCGACACACACTGTCTTCCAACAGTCCGAGTCTCTGCATATGATGATTAAAATGACAGTGACCTGTAAGAAGGCCTGTTAGACATCTAAAAAATAACTCTTGTAGACCAAACACAATAAATTACCTAATTTGCTCCATTGTTGTCAGATAATTGCAATAGAGATTCCTGACACTAGCTGCATTTCAACTTTCCATTACCCATCAGTCGTCTCGATAAAAACGGCAATCCTCACAAGTCGAAACAGTTGCGAACTAAATTCAACCAAGTTTTACTTTCTAATGGGCGATGTCTAGTGTGGGAAGCATAAACTTTACCACCAATCACAAGGATTGGTGTCAGTGCAATCTGCATCACAACTTATATCCAGGCATACACAAGTTGCACATCATATCCGCAGTTAAACCTACAAATAAAATCATTGACTGCTGACAGTCGGATTCGCACCAGAAACTGGGTGCGTATTCAATAGCTAGACATCAAACACCTTGTTAAATATATTGAAGGTATTCTACACTTTGAACTTTAGAAATAGTTTTATAGAGAATTTTAAATATATATGATATTCATGATTTCTTGTTAGCTATGCTATTTTCACTGACTAATTGAAATGTTTGAACCTCATTCCTCATGGAAATATTTCAATAAGTAGATTGAATGATTTATTGGCAAATATAGGGCCACAAATAATTTTGAGCGTTTACAAAGGAATGCAACTAGCAGGATATGGAAGATCTCATATGCCATTAAAACCAGGTTCTCATACAGTGAATGCCCATTTAGCCAAACCACAAGCTTCTTCTATGCTTGGCCATATAGCATCATTCTTTGGATATCAACCAGAGCTTTTGCAACCTAAGATGCTGGCAACAACTGCAGGAAATAATTGTGAGTACAAGAATTTAACCATAAAATCTGTTACAGCGCCATTAGTATTAGTATTCATGTATTACCAAATGTAACTTCGAAACTATAAATTATGGAATTTTGTATAAAAATTTTAAATTCTGCTAAAACTCTGTGATTTCTGCAAAGGAAAATGATTAGGAGTGCTGCATTACAAAACTCCTGATGGTGAACTCAAAAAAGTATTGCCTTGAAGTTATAGTTTGAAAACGGTTTCACCACGCAGCATATTCTTTTTCAACTTTCAAGAGATATAGAAATATTAACTGTATAAAATTTAAAGGACTAGTTTGATGTATATATTCATTTCACATGATGGAATAAACATATAGCTGTATTAATTATCTACTAAAACACAAATATCAGATTTAATAATAATTATGCTGCACTCTTCACACAAAAAAATAATAAATCTTTCACATCTTCAATACATTCAACTATTCAAGTTGTTTTCACACCGCGTATATAATGAAGGATAGTCTCATCATAGTCATCATATTATCACTTATGTTTTTCAAAATATGAATGCTACTTTCGTTATTTTCTTGTATATGATTTCTATCATTTCCAGAATTGAAAAAAGTTTCTTTCACTTTCAATTGAGTACAAATATTTAAAAAATTAATTCAGTATTATGATTATGAAAACTTCAAATATTTTTTTTAATCATATTTTTTCAGTAATCCAAATGGAAGAAGCTGGTCATGCACAAATGACAGTAAATGTAGTTACCCAGGGTTTCCAAGGATTAGGCTATGATATCGGTACTTCGAAGTATAGGAACTAGTAATATAAATAAAGCTTACAACATTTTTGTGAATAATTTCTTTTAATCAGACCTAGAGGATGATATTTCTAGTTTCATTCAACTTCCCTTAATAATCAGTGTCACTATTTTTCAGGTTCAAAAACCGTCTATTTCTAGAATTTCTTCCTGACATTTCGCTGACGCGAGTGGATAGCTTCTTCATAGGTTTTACATACCGAGTTATCTCCGATGACTGGATATTACGGTTGCGTAAAGCATATTTATGTTGACTCAGGTAGTCTGGTGTGCTAATACCTGTACCTGAATTAGGTAAATTGTCAATAACATTAGTCGACCCTGCCGTTATCCTGTTTGCTATTCTTGAACTTCAGTTTCTTCTTTTCCGTTGAAATTATTTTTGTTTTTGTTGATCTCTATTGCCTCCCGTATTAGTCGGCTATAATATCCCTGGTTGGGGGCAATGAGTTTCGTATTTTCTGACCTAGTCTGCAGTTTCCTTCATGCTCCTTAAGCCTTGTTCCCATGGATCTTCTGATGATTCCAATGTATACCTTCCCACAAGTGCCATGGTATACGATATACCCCTGCTGCTGATAGTGGGTCCCTTTTGTCTTAGTCATCCTGGGACAAAATTCCAAAAATCGACGACCTTTTAACCCAAAAAAGAGTGATACTGAAAACCTAGGCCGCCAAAGCCTTGATCATTTTTCCTTAATATTATAATTGTTGAAATAAGTAATAAAGATAATGATCTGTTTTAAAATTTGTTTTCCGTTAACCAGCTGTCGCACCCCTACGAACGACGACTCTCAGAAGTCGAAACTTATGCGAGTTAAGGATTAACAAGGTCTTACCTTTTAACGTGTGATTCCTAACACAAGTTGGACGATAGCAAGTGAAAATCGATCGTTCAGCCTGGGGCTTGAACCACCGACCAACACGACGGTTAATTTAAGTCAGTGAACAAAGCACCCACGTCGAACCGACCGGCTACCGACCGACCTGATAATTTCCAATCTTTATTTATTCCTATCAATTCAGTGATGTAATGAACATATATAGAGACTCTCAGAACGAACATATTTTGAAATTACTTTGCATAAAAAATTATCACTCGATTGTTTTCTAAGAGGGTTGCTGAACCTAAATCAGGATATTTCTTCATTTCATCAACCAAAAAAAACTCGAAATATTTACGAAAAAATCGCCAGAGCAGTTTTTTCCATTACTTAGGAGCTGCCCGACTTCATCACATTTCTCGTAACATCTTTTTCATGACACTCATTACAACAATCTTGTGCCATGTACTAGTTTGTTCAGGTCTCTTATGACGTAAAACAGGAAAAATTTAAGTTTTCCTAAATATACAACTGCCTGGAGCTCACCTAGAATGGGGCGAGTCGTGGGTTCGAGTCGGGATATCTGAATATCCAAAAATTCTTTATTAGTATTATTCTTATAGTTTTTATTAGCAAGCTGTGGGCGCCCGTTGATATTTCTTCAGCAAAAAGGGGGTTATAAGGCTAATAGACAAAGCCTTTTGACACTTCTTTCAAAAAGTTAATTTTAATAATGAAATTAGTAAGGTTAATGGGAAGTTAAGAAAATGTATATCTGACTGAAATATACAATATAACAACTTCAATTACTAAACAACCAACCTCATCAAATGTGAAAACAAAACTTGAGGGTTCCCGTATCTGTGGTCAAATTTATTCAAAAATTATATCTTTGTGGGTTTCTCGCCCTAAAGGAAATGAAGTTTTACAATTAGACTTCCTAAACTGCTGTTTAAGTTATAGAAAATCAAAACAACAATCAAAAACTTTTGTACAATATAGCGACCTTCGAATTCGTAGGCCTGGAGAATCTCGTTTTTGTAAAATAATAAAAAAAAACTCACAGTTATTTACGGAAAATATCGTATCGAACTTTTCTGGGTGGTTCCGTCTTGAAAGGTCGGAAGCCTCCTTAGCATAGGACTTCTGCTTGAGTCAACTTAATGGAGCCTTGAGAAACAATCAGCGGCATCCCGTGTATCCGTTGTTGAAAATATTTATTGCAAGGGCCACCTCTTTCCTTAATTCGTTTATAAGAAACACCTCTTATCACACCTATATATTCACCTCCATAAAAAACCCTGAAAGTTACATATTTTCGGAGAATAAATTAATTTTAATTAAAAACACTAACCTTAGATTAAAAGAGGTTTCTTTTTTTCTTATAAAACTCAAGATGGACTGAACACCACGTATTCTTTTTGACGAATCTTTCTTCTCTGTTCTTTTTTTTTAAACAACTTGTTATCAGTTTCGATTTGGCAACTCTCAGGATATTAAAGTGAAACCTGCGCCAACGAAATAGTAATTTGAATTGTGACTTCATAAAATTTGCGTTTATAATTCAATATGTTCTCGACAAATACCATCACTTCTTTGGTTTAATATTTAGTTTTATTTTCCCGGTACTGTCACGCAATTATCTTTCCAAATGTATATATCCCGGAAGTATAAAATATTTAACAGAAGTATTGAGCCCTACACAACCCATTGATCAAAATGGCCTTGTTGCTTGCCTTGTTCCTGGTAAAATATATCAATAGAATCAGAAACCCTCAACAAGGGGTACTTACACTGAACTAGAAACGGGTTGATTTGGGAACGGGTTGATTTGGAAACGGGTGAGAGTTCTTACCAATAAACAAAGAAATTGAACGTTATACTTTTACAAGAAGTATGCTTCTGGACATAATTTAGATTTCCAAAATTGTGTCTCACATTCGCCTAAAATTTGAAGAGCTTTTTTTGCATTCAGTGTCACCGGTGTACAGCCCTATTTTGTTCAGATATCCTCTCAGTGGACAGGATCCACTTAGTAGCTCTGTAAAAGTTCTGAACGGATCCCTGCTTTCTTTAAGCAGTTTGTCAGAACAGTTACTTCTTCACTTTTTCAAAAAAAAAGTTAAATCACCTCTTTTGCCAAAGATGTAATAAAATAATAGAAACGTACATACAGTTTTCGAAATTAAAGTAACACGAATAAACATGCATTTGTGCGGTTTTAACCAGATGTTTTGTTTGATAGTGAATCACGAATGGTCATAACTTTGTATTTGAGTCTAACATTCAATTCCAAACATATGTTTTTCAATGAAAAGGGAAAAGAAAATACTATTTTCCAACTTTCACTGACTGCTACGTGACTTGAAGCTATTCTAAGTGACCTAAAATTAGAAATGAAACAAATGTTCAGTAAGTATCCGGCCGAATACCAGATTCAAAAAAATATTTTAGGTGATTAATTAAGGTTATTATTTAGTTAGTATCACTTGAGAAACAGAATCAGTAAACACACAATAATTATATAACTTAGAAAATGAATAAGTATTCATACTGCAGTGAGGGCGAATTATAGTGAATGAATACTAATTTCTCTGCATTAAGAGGTAGCAAGCGGTTTCGCTTATCATCGTAAATAAAGCCAGCTTCAGAAAAAAGTTTTTCGCTGTACATACTGCCGCAAGGTGCTGGAAGATAGATGCACTGCAATCAATATAATAATTCAATGAATGAAACAATTGTTAACTTTGCTAATCAACGAACAGATCCGAATTGGACCACCCTATTGTTCGCGTGCTGCCTACACAAGTATGCTTTTGCGATGCGTTAAATGACAATGTTCCATCGGATATTCGACAGCCGACTATCTGGCTAAACTGCTATCCGTTTCATCTCTACCTTAAATAGTTATTAACATGCAGACAGTATTCTAATTTCGATTGTGCCAGAAATTTAAACCCATTTGTTGTGCACCTGTGAACTTAATGAAAATAATAAACTGCAGATTATGTAGTTATATAGTTACACATTTACAACTGGATACAAAACAGTACATATCACATTTTTGTATTGTGAATTTAATAGAGGAAATAAAAATTATTTGATTTCTGAGTGCATATGAAACGATGTTATGTGAAGAATTCCAGGGAAGGATTTTGAAATGATACCCAATTTTGAAATCAATTTTTAGTTACACTAACTTATTGTACAGTTGCTTAACATTAACTATACTCTATGAATGAAATAAATAGTACAATAATTCATAATTGTTATTAGTGTATTATAATATACAAGAATTTTAATATACAAATCAAATAAAGGTATAGACAGTTAGAAAATAAAACAAAAAATAAATTTTTTCAGGCCTGTATCGATGTTTGAGGCTATGAAACTCCAAAAAATGTGTTATTACATAGACAATTATACAAGTTACAAATATAGATAAACACCTTATTATAGCATTCATCCCTCAACTCACAGGTAATCCCATTTGTAACATTAAATCATTAATACATTTACTCTTTGGCAGTTTATTCCTTGAATTGGATAAGGAACAACAAATTCACAAAATAAATTCTTGACCCAAAAATTAGAAACTTTCAGAATACATTTCAAGTTCACCAGGATACCCAAATTGAATGAAGCTTCTTAAGTAGTATGAGTACTGAAAACAAAACATTGGATACGATTCAAGGAACTGAAACTAAATCCCTTGTTTCAAGCAATTATTTACAAATTATTTTGTTCATATAGCCATCACACTTGACTTTATATACTAACAAAATTATAACATTCATTTGTCAAGCAACACACTACCACATCATCAAAAAATAAAAGTCTTGAAACACAATGAGAACTCTTTAAAGTGTTTTGGAAACATCTAGAGATTGAAGAATAAAATATATATCTGAACACAAAACGCCTTGAAATGTTTCCTTAAAAATGACTTGAGGCTTATCACATGGTTAAAACACAAAATGGATTATTTGGTTCATCCTAACTGTAATAAAGCTAATTACACTGCCACCTTATAGTGGCATTTTTATAAAATTACACTAGAAAAATTTCTATGGCTAGAAAAATACAGTGATGATCAATAGTATATTATGAGTAGAATGAAACAAAGGTTATTTTCTCACAGACAAACATTATGGATACAAAACTGAAACCAGGAAAAATTGCTGGGTAGATTTCCTTACGAAATATTTCATT